CTCGTTCGCACGATGTTCTGTCCAATGTGGTTTTCTTGGAAGTTGTAGACTACTTCTGAGTCAGCACGTCCCAAGTGCAATCTCCAAGTCAATCTCCATTCAACAACAAAAAAGCATGGAAAGACAGGTAATCAATCAATTACTGAATAAAGTACGCTGAATGAATGAAGATCCAAGCATACCATTATGTTTCAAATTTCACTCACAGCTTTCTAATTTGATGTCAATTTAGGTCAAGTCCAAATTAGCATTATGCATCCGGATGGGCAAATTTCTAGCATTTACACCATAAACGGGGATTCAAATTTACAAAATCATGCATACTGTACATCAGTAGAGATTATCTTTTTGAATGAAGCAAGTAAATTGACAAATTCTGTGGAAACTTTCTACTTTTAATAAATAGACGTGCTGGGTATGGCAAAACGGAATTACGATATGAAGACATACGTGCAAATAAAAGTTAAAACCCTGTGCCTGTGGATGATGTAGATACGGCCTTTGAAAATTAGCCGTGTAATTAGTGATGAGTTTCTGAAAGTANCAAAAGAAGTTTCTGAAAATAAACTTCAAACAGTATGTAGTCATCTGTGAGCGGATTTTCGATTTATGAATTTAAGACTAATCTATGGCGTGAAAGGCTCATTTGTAATTCAGCCGCTTTTCGCAAAGACAGGTAGTTTGGCCAAACGGATTCTGCTTTTAAAATGGCAGCGATCGTATTCCTTGCATTTTGATTATTGTTGATTTGAGCTGACTATCCTTCGGACTTGAACGTCACGCACAATCCTCGGTTCATTGATTCAACCATAAACTCGGAAGCACTAGACTCGAGTTTCACTCTTATTAGAGCTCCTCAGTAGTGCATATTCACCGTCTCGTCCGGGATTTGAACCCGGGACTCATCGCCTGGAAGGTGTGTGCGTTACCACTGTGTCAACCAACTCATACCATGGCTGAACTAAATTGCCAATTCATGTTTTTTCAGGTGTCTTCTTCAGTGATTATTGCTTTGGTGATACGGTGTTGACGAGGCACAAGAGTTAGATCATGGTAGGAAAGTCAGATGATGTGGAGTAAAGTGTAAATGCATAGCCTGGTCTTGTTGCAGCTGTAGAGCACCGCGTATACGAAATCCAGTGTGTGTGTAGTTGGGATGGGAGGAGATGCAACTGTCCGTATGACCAACTTTTGAAAGCAATCAACGTTTGTTGGTCACAGTTACCACCAGAAAGCTTTGGTTGAAAGCTGATTTCCCGAGTGATTGTGCCCGTATGTGTCGCGCGTGTTTGTGTGCGTGCGCATGCCAGGATTATCAATCAATATGAAACCGTGTGTTTAAGCTATGTCAATCGGTTACTATGCCATTGATAGCAGCTGTTCACATGAAAACAGAAAGGGTTCAGCTTTCTCGTTTTACCGAAAACAATCATATCGCGCCAGAAGCTTCCAATTGTTTTTAGTTAATGATATTTGAAGAGAAATTCGCCAATTGCACGATTCGTATGCAGCCTGATAAAACAACGAGAAAACAAGATAAACTAACAAAGACAATAAGTGCAACCCACCGAAAGCTGTAATCGGCGAAGAGAGTTCAGGCTAGTATCCGAAATGATTGTCAAAAGGTGATCATAGTGCATTGTCCAGTCCAACTGAACAAAATGTTTAAACGTAACTTCCTCTTTTCCGTGCAATCAATGGTATCCAAAAGTCATCACTTAGCTTAACCTCTGACATATCAGCTTCGTTGCACCTAACGGCTACAGATTATTGCTGGGTTTTGAATTTATATGGCTTGCATAGTCACGAGTCACCTCAAATGGAGTAAAAGCAGTGCGGTGAAATACATAATAACCGATTAGCGCATAAATAAAAAGAGGAGTTTTAATCCATTCACCAGGTGCTGCCGGATAGCGGATATCTAAAGTTTTTCCTTGTTCAAAACACACAGTCAAACTCAGATGCGCAGCCATACGATCGTATTGAACATTTACGGTGAAATTCCCCGTGGATGATGCTGATACGATTTGGAGCTTCCTCGTGAGTTTGTTGCTACGCAGTTCACGGTACCAGATCGTTTTATGTCGACCAGCCTATTCAACAGAATCTAAGAGCATTGTATCTGAACCGATCAATCACTAGTGCCTGGAAAAGAACCGATTTCAGAGAAATTTTTCTGACTGGGTCTCTCTCTAAAACAGTAGAGAAGTTTCAAATCGAAGAGTGTGTTCAGTCCTCCTGGCGATAACTGTAGCTCGTTAAACCCCGAACAAAGCTGAATTATTTTGATTATAGAAACTTGAAGCATTGGGTCCCCTTTATCCATTTAATCAATATAGAAAGAAGACGAATGTCGCGAGTTGTTAACATTTCGTTTGGTCTTCTCAATCGCTTACTTAAAACAAACAAGTAAATATAAAGTACGTGAGTTTATTTAATTATGGTCAATGAACATTTACAAGCATACAAGGAT